CCGATCTTTATCAAAACAGGCATCCTTATTCTTTGGCCCAATCCCCTTCTCCATGTAAAAATGTGCGATGTTTGGCCCATAATTGCGGTCTCTAGAGCGACCAGACAAAAATTTAGTTTTTGGTCCATTTCATCCCCTAAATATTAACCGATCTTTACGAAAAACAATAGAGGTCTTCATTAGCCAGAACCCACCCTACATTCAAATTTTCGTGAAGATTGGTCCATAACTGTGGCCTGTATCGTGTTTACAAATTATAATGGACAGACGGACAAACGGATACACATGTCTAGATCGACTCAGCTAGTCGAGATATGACGATCGGTATACTTAAAGGTGGGTCTAGGGCCAATATTTCGTGGCGTTACAAAATCTTGGGGCTGCACAAAGCTATAATACCCTGACAACATAGTTTTGTAGGGTATAATAAAGCTAGATATAACTGATTCAGAACTTATCAGTAAATAACTTTTGCTCTGTTGTTATAATAACGAAACGGCAAACCATTTCTAGTCACAAAAATTTCCCCACCACCCTCGTTCCATTTTCGAACGTTCCATTACAAAATTTAAATGCATGTGTGTGTGTATGTGACATTTGGTTTACCGGAAATATTTCGGTTATTATTAAGTTTTGTCGCAAATCAAATCAATCATTGGAGACAAAAAATCACATTTGAATATTGTGATTGAATCTGCGACAAATGAATACTAAAATATTTTATTATTATGTTGAAAATCAAATCTCTCTCGCACACAGAGATGATAAATCAACGATTTAAATCACATTTTCAGATAATAATTTACGGTAGTGGCCCGTTTTTTTATACCCTCCAACATAGTATGGAGGGTATATTAATTTTGTTTTTCCGTTTGTAAGTTATCAAAATGATAATTTCCGAACCTATAAAGTATATATATTCTTGATAGGCATAAATTCTATTAGGCTATATCGGTCCACGTTTAGGCATAGCTCCTATATAAGGGATTTTAGAGGTCTTGAGCGCGTTTTTCAATCGAATTCGCTGAAATTTTGTAAATTGGGTTCCTATTGGGTACCAAATTTCCAATTTTTTTCATCTCAAGCACCTGCCAATATACCTATGCTGGAGGGTATCCAAAGTTCAGCCCGATATCCAACAAACAGCAAAAAGATCTACAAATTTTAGATAGGTTTCAAATATCTAGGTAAAATAAAAACTACGACATCATGAGTTTTGATAATTCCCCGTCCCATTACTTGATTAATTTAAGGGAACCCCACCCATTCCCGATTTTAATTTTTCAAGATTTTCAGTGGGCTGGTAAATCAATACCAATGCTTGTTAAGGTTTGTAACTTTGCACATATATATTTGAAGATTTAAAAGAGAAGAAAAATAAATAAAAAATAATTTACAAAAAAATTTTGTTATTGTTTTGTTGATGTTTTTTGTAATTAAAGAAAAGTCCCAATTTTTGATGGCGGGCATGACTCCCCACTGGAACATCGGAATCCGAAAATTCCAACGGTGTTAGAAAGGGTACATGTCTGGCTCTCGTATGAACTAGGATTATTGACATCGCTCCAAAATTAACAAAATGGCGGACCTTTAAAAAAATTGTAGAAAATCGCCTATTTTGACCAAAAACCAAGTTAAAAAATAAGGAAGATCTTCACCGATTGGCTTTATCCTAGTTCATACGATAGCTATACACTCACAGAGAAACGTATAAAAATTTTGAAACGATCGGATCATTAGTTTTTGAGTTATCGTGCCCGCCATTCGCAAAAGAGAAAAACGCGTTTAAAGTTTGAGAAGCCCCTTAGCCGTCAACTGATGCTGACACAATAAATCGGCTATATTTTCAAGAGTTCTTGAGATTTTCACTTGACATTTTGTAGGGACATTCTTGAATTAGAGTAGATTCGAATTAAATAAAAAAAATTGACCCCGAGAATGGGAGGGTCCCCTTAAAGTAAAAACGTTATCCGTCCGTCTGTCTGTCCATGTTAAATTGTGAACAAAGTACAGGTCGCATTTATTATTCGAATTGGATGAAATTTGGCACAGCTCATTCATTTGGCCCAAGGACGAACCTTACTGAAATTGGGAAATATCGGTTCAGATTTAAATATAGCTCCCATATATATTTTCGTCCGATTTAAGGTAAATGGTGCACTAAAGTCCCTATATATATTTCGATTTGCACGAAATTTGGTATAGCTTACTGAAATAAGCCTAGATATAGCTCTCACATATACATTTTCGTCCGATTTAAAGTAAATGGTGCACTAAAGTCCCTATATATTTTTCGATTTGCACGAAATTTGGCATATCGTACTGAATAAAGTCCAGAATGATGTGTCTTATGTTTCGTGAAAATCGGTTCAGATTTAGATATAGCTCCCATATATATTTTCGTCCGATTTATGGTAAATGGTGCACTAAAGTCCCTAGATCACATACATATTCTCGTCCGATTTTGTGTAAAAGGTTTACCACATACATTTCATTCGATTTGCACGAAAATTGTATAGCGTACTGAATTAAGTCTAGAATGATGTGCGTTAAATTTCGTGAAAATTGGTTAAGATTTAGATATAGCTTCCATATATATTTTCTTCCGATTTAAGGTAAATGGTGATCCAAAGTCCCTATATCGTTCGATTTGCACATAGATTCGAATTTGACATAGCGTACTGACTTAAGTCTAGAATGATGTACGTTAATTTTCCTGAAAATGCAGATTTTGATATATCTGCCACCTAAAATCGGACGAATATATATGTCCGATTTTCGGTAAATGGTGCACCAAACTCCACCGATTGACACGACATTTTGCTCAACGTATTCAATTGAGATTAGATTGATTGCGCTTTTTTTGTAATGGGTGAAGATGCAGACATAGCTTCCAAATATATTTCGAACTGGTGTCTGATTGATATTATCGAATCGTATGTATCAAGTGTGCTATAAATCGATTTACCCAAATTTGTCCCATTGAAATTTAGCATAGGTTGCCGGAAAGCATGTATATGGATTGATGTTAGTCGGTTCATTTATTGATAAAGATCAAATCAAAACAATTGTTTTTAATGGAATTAAAAAAATGAGAATACCCATATGTAGAATATACCCAAAGTGGTGAAGGGTATCATATAATCGGCCCAGCCCGACTTTACTATATTTTTACTGGTTTTTTCTTTCGAGTCGGGCTTAATGATCGAATTTTTGCAATGAAAAGGAATGCCAAGAAGAAGAAAAAAGAAGAACCCACCATTATGCGATGCGTTTCGCCGTTGGCTAAGGTCATATATTGCTAACTTGTATTTATATCGCAGTTAATGCGAAGTTGTATCTGCGAATTAAATTCAATTTTATCAAGTTCCGATATTTGTCTTCACTCTAGAAACAGTCCCATTCGAAGCTGATTTTTAGTTAGAAAGTTCGCTATACATTGAGAACCCAAAATACCAAAATACAGCCTATTCCGCTAAAAAATGTGCCCTACATATATAAAATGCCGAAACTCTGTTATATGCGACAATACAGAAACGTGGACCGATATATCCCACTTGCAATACCAAACATCGTAGGAGTATTAGCAATGTCTGTGCAATTTTCGCAGCTCATGATTTCAACAGCAGGAGGGACAGACAGGCATAAATATACATATAATTTTATACTGATCAAGAATATGTTCTATGGGGTATGTGAGGTGTTGTGAGAACCTGATCTATCAAATTGAAGCTGATTAGATTGAAAAACGTGTCCAAAAACTTCAAAATACCGAATATTTGCTGTAACGGTTATATGGAAGCTACAACGATATATGGGCCAATATTGATAATTTTTGACTGACATGGGTAAATCAATTATTTTTTATTCCACCCAACAATAAATATACTTTATAGGGTCTCAGGTTTATTTGATGTTTTGAGGTTTTGAAAACGGAATGACTAATTTAATATTCACTCCACCTTGTGGGGAGAGTGGACTTTTAAAATACTTAAAATCGATCAGAAGTTTGCATATGTGGGCTATGTCATGATAAATGGCTGCCGAAAATGATGCGCAACCTTTGTATGTTCTGTGAAGAAGATTATAAACACCACGGTCCCGGAATGCCAAATTACAGCCGCATCTTAATTGGGCAATATATTGATTTAAAGGGTTTGGAAAAATCAGGTTAAAACTGGTTCAGATGAGAATTGGCTCATAGCTCATATGTGAGCTACACCATATGAGCCATCAACCATTTCTCACCAATTTCATAGGGTTCATCATTGAACCAATTAAATGAGCCTTGCCAAATTTCGCCTCTATTTGATAGTAAATATGTATATATAATTTAGAAATTGTAAATACGTCATAGACTCGGACACCACTATTGTTCATTGTTAATTTCATTTATTTGCTCATCATTTCATAAATCAAAAAACTATACTAATATTGTTTCAATTTCTCTCTTCTTTTTTTGTTTACTTTTATGTAATTCGGAAATCTCAACACAAAATTTGCAATTTCAACAATTATGCGAAAACACACAAAATCCATCTGTCATGCGAATAATGATGATTTGACATTACCAACAACGACGGAATCTGTTTTGTGGAACGTCACCGGAATAATGTGTGTGTCCCTGTGTGTGTGTGTGTTTGTGCAAATGGAAAATGCCAACGGAACAACTGGACATCATAAAAACAAAAATATGGTACACGTGGCTGCTGTGCACTCATCTGTGTCATGCCTACGAACATGTTCCGTGCCTGTCGTCCGCATGTCTATGTCCACCGTCTGATGGACATATGGAATTGACTCGAACTCTTGTTGGACAAAACGGAAACGATAACACAAATTCATCTAAAAATAACACATAAACACACACACATGCATATACACTCGCCGAACAACAACACCAACGGAAATGCAATTCAACAACGGAAATTGAAAATACCTATTCATGTTTGAATTGACGCGCCTCACCCCACCCCAACCTTTTGTGCGACTAACTGCAGATTCGTTTGGCAGCCGATAAACTCTGCTTTGACTTAGTACCCAATGTCCAGAACAATGTCACACTGGCCATTGTGGTCAAGATAAATCGGGCCACCTCTTGGCATTCCGTCGAACTAGACTATCGAGATGGCGAAATTAAATTTACCGTCGACTATCACCATCAGCGCACCGAAATGTATGGCCTGACCTTTAACATCGGTGACAAATTGATCATCGGCAGCAGTTTAAAGTCAGCCGCATCTGGTCTCGTCGGCTGCATACGAGACATCGAGATTAACGGTCATCTGATAGAGCCCCGTCACGTGGTCAAGACGGAACGGGTGGTGGGCGAAGTGGCGCTGGACAATTGCCAGTACATTGATCCGTGTAAACGGCCCAACACTTGTGAGCATGGCGGCAAGTGTTTCGTCAAGGATGACCGGGTGACTTGTGACTGCAAACACACCGGCTACATTGGCAAAAACTGTCATTTCACCAAATACCGTAAAACCTGTGAGGAGCTGGCCCTGCTGGGCTATACCAAATCGGATGTCTATCTAATTGACATCGATGGCAATGGAGTCTTTCCGCCGGCCCATGTCAAATGTGACTTCCAGAGTTTGGAGAATGCAACGAAAACAATTGTCGAACACAACTTGCCCAGTCAAGTGGATGTGCGTTCGTCACGTGATTCGGACTTTAGCTTCAATATACGCTATCGTGAATTCTCACCGGAAATGTTGCAGGAATTGATCTCGCATTCGCTGTACTGTACACAATATATCAAATATGATTGCTATAAGGCACAGTTGGAATTGCATTCGGCAACGTGGTTTACTTCGTCGGCTAAAAATCATACTGTGGATTTTCTGGGCAATGTTAAGAGGTATGTACATAGCTAAGTGAGTGTGTATGTGCGTGTGCGTACGTGTAAATGGTAGTATGTAGTGTAAGCAATTTTGGGGTCAAACATGATTCAATCATGTCAAGTCACTAATTGAATTAATGAAGTTGCCGAATATTGAAATGGGGAGGGAGAGAAGGGTTTTAAATGTTGGAAAATGTTTCGATTCGAAATGGAAAAATATCGAAAAATTACTACGTTGTTTTCTAAAAGGTTTTTTTATCCTCGGACAAAACTGTGAAATTACCAATCGTTTCGGGTTCCGGTAAACGTCGTTACAGAAAAATTTCGATATGTGTCCACTTTTAGGTATTTTGAAAAGTTATTTTCCAAGTTAAGAGACTGTCATTTGGCCTTCCGGGTTTTTCGAGTGTGAAAACATCTTTGCAGCAAAATTTTAATTTGTATACCCTACACAACTATGTTGTCAGGGTATTATAGCTTTGTGCAGCCCCAAGAGTTTGTAACGCCGCGAAATATTGGTCCTAGCCCCACCATTAATTATACCGATCGTCATATCTCGACTAGCTGAGTCGATCTAGATATGTGTGTCCGTCTGTCCGCCCCATTACCACACTGGAGGACGG